CACGAGCGCCTCGCACGCGCGGCACTCGTCGTTGCGAACCCGTCCGACCGCTTCGAGGTGCGAGCCCGCATCGCGGCGAGCATGACGCTCACACAGGTGGAGACGCCCGAGTTGACGCTGCCGCCGCGCGGTGAGGCGCGGGTGCCGGTGACGCTGCACCTCGCTGCACCGGGGCTTGTGCAGGAGACACTGTCGGTGTACAACCTCACGTGCAAGCAGAAGCCGCTCTTGGTTGGGGTGTCGGTGCTGCGCCACGACGAGGCGATCTCCGCCGTGATCGAGGATGACAACGAGGCCGAGCGGCAACAGCAAGATCAACAGCCACAGCGGGAGCCGCGTGATGCCACGAGCGTTTACGCACCGTCGTTGGCCCCAAAGAACGGGGTGGTGGTCTTCCCAACCGCCGCGGTTGTGGTGGGCGAGGATGGGGCGTTCCGCCTACACCTTCCTGTGACAACCACCGCGCTGAAGGTGACGAACAACAGTACCCGGGACATCATCCTCGTCGCAAAGAGCAGCGCACCGCTCGTGTTCGGCATGCCGCACGCCTCACTGACGCTGCCGCCCCACTCAGAGGAAACAGCAGCGGCCCCGTCGGCCTCGGCAGCAGCGCAGGCGTACCCACGCGGACGCTTACGGCTCGATGCACACCACACAGAGGTGGTCGCCTGGACACTTGTGTCGATGCCGCCGCTCACGGCGCAGCAGACACAGCAGCTGCAGCGTCACGAGGAGGTGACGATGGGGGCAACGGCGCAGGTCTATGTGGCGCAAGTGGTGGACGAGGCGGTGGGCTTCAACTACAACAGCATGCTGTTCCCTGTGAAGCGTGCACTGCCCAAGGTTGGCCAGTGCGTGTTGCTGACAAACTTCCAGCTGTGCTTTGCACTGAGTGAAGGACGCGCGGAGCCGGCCATGATTGACCTCGGCGTCGTTGGCATTGACAAGAACTCCTCCTCCACCAATATCGCCGCATTGGACGAGGCCGCCAGGAGCAAGCGAAATAGCAACACAGAGAATATTGAGCAACAGCAACAGCAACAACAACAACAGCTACTGCAGGAGCAACAAAAACAACAAGTTGTCGGGTCTTTAGCCAACACAGCACGATGGGCAGGAAACGGCAGGAACAGAGCGAGCAGCAGCAGCAGCAGCAACACAACAGTGTCAATACGGCTGACAAACCTCTCTCCAATACTGCCGCTTCGACTGAGTGTCGAGTGCGAGCCGACTGTGCGCTTCACGAGCAACCGCATCGTCGTGCCACCGCTTCAGACCGTCACAGTAGAGGCGTTTCTCGTGCCGAAGCTCATCCGCACACAGGGTCCGTTCCGCTACGCCGTCTACTTTGTCAATGAGCTCAACCCCGAGAACGACATGGTGGTGTATGTGATGGGGCAGTACTACTGGAAGGTGTTCGAGCTCTCCTGTGATGGGGTGATGGATGATGTGCGGGAGTCCCTTTCCATGGCGTCGCTCCGCGTTGAGGATACATCCTCCGCTGGTGGCATCCTCTCCGAGAGCAAGATTGTCGTAACGGCGATGGAACCGAACGTGGAGGTGGGCGTGAGCGTGACAGAGAGCCCGAAGCTCGAGGGACTCATTCAACTGCAGGCGTTACGCTACGATGCCGCGGCATCACTGCAGAAGATCGTCTTTGGACAGGGGGGGAAACACACAACTGTCAACATGACCCTCCCAGGTGGTGTGAACGGCGGTACCACTTCTGGTGGCAACATCACGGCGAATGCTACGGCTAATTCCAATCCATCTGCTGTAGCTGCCGCTGCCGCTGCTGCTGCTGCTGCTGCTGGTGCTGGCTCTGGAGTTGGCGGTGGAAACAACGCGAATGGTGGAAGTGTGAGCGGCACGGGTGTTGGTGGTGTAGGCGGGGGTAGCGGCGGCGGAGGAGGAGGTGGTGGTGGTGGCGGCAGCAGCAGCAGTGTCGGAAGCGTCTTGAATGCATCGTTTGGTGCGTCTGCCGTGGCGGATAGCATTGTGGCAGGTCGAGCGAAGGAGCAGCAGTCATTCCGCCTGCGCTGCGTCCTGCTGAAGGAGGACCTCGCCGCACTTGCAGGCGCTTTCTTTGGACAGCGCAAAAATAAGAAGGTTGACGTACGGCGCGAGCGACAGGCGATGACGTTTGACAAGCTTGCCGAGATTGAGCGACGGCGCGTCACCGGCTCGCCGGCAATGTGGCTCGGCACACTAGTGCTGTCCAACGCCTTGACGCGCGTCGACGAGGAGGTGCAGGTGTTCAGTACGCTCAGCGCCTTCCAGACATTCACGGTGCCGTCGAAGCTTGTGCTGCGGCCGTGCGACAGTGCAGCAGCAGCTGCAGTGGTGGCAACGGAAACAGCAGTTGAGGCGTGCGAGAAGCAGATGACGAGAACACAGATGTACGTGGGCGAGTTGGTGGTGTCGAATCCGTGTGTGCAGCACAGCGTGGCGCTCTCCGTCACGCCACTGTGGGACAGAGCATACCGCGATGCCGTCCTGGTGCGCTGCTTTTTACACGGCGGTGAGGCGGATGCCGCGCTGACTGCAGATGCGCCAACGCTGCTGAGCACACGCCTGGGCAGCGCCGTGGCGGTGTCTGACTCGGTGACGGAGAGGGACGTTGCCAGCGCCACCGCCGATAATTCCAACAGCGTCACCGCCAACAGCAGTATGACGGGTGTGTCGAATAGCCTGGCGGCAGAGATGGCAGGGGGCGTGGAGGCAAAGACGCTTTTTGCGACCATCTCACCGCAGTGTGCGCTACGTGTGCAGGTGGTGCTGCGTGTCGACATGAGTGGGCACCACCCGAAGGTAGAGCAGGCAGTGGCGCTCGCGCTCTTTGATGAGAGTGTGCCATGCAGTGCATCGGTGGTGCGCATCACCCTAGCCCCCGTCGACGAGGCGGCAGGCCGGCGCCAGCAACAGCAGCAGCTCTTCCTGCAGCCGGCGAGGCGCCGCATGGAGCTCAGCAGCGCGGGAGGAGGTGGTGGTGCTGCTGGGGAGAATGCAGCGGACGGCGCTGCTTTGGCGGGATCATCAGCGGTAGCAGCAAACGGGGGGGCTGCGGTGGTGAGTACGAGTGGGTGGCCGGCGCCAACGGCACACTCGCACCCCACCTTGCCGCCAACGCGGGCACTGAGTCTGCACGGCAACTGCCAGTCCGTGACGGGCTGCTGCGGGGCGTACGCCTGCAGTTTTTCCTTTGCAAAGGACTCTCCTCCGACGACGGACATCGTGATTCGCAACAACCTCAGCTCCACGACTGTGGAGTACGTCGTGGCGGTGGTATCGCAGGGGCCGCAGCCGTGGCTGCTGCTGCCGAGCGCGGCCGCCGTGCTGGAGCCGGGCGAGACGCAGCCGCTGCGGCTGAACATTCTCTCCACCGAGGCAGGCTCGTACGTGGGCTACGTGAGCATCATCAACCGCGTAGCTCCCGACGAGCTGCTGCTGCTGCAGCTCAACGCCGAGGTCTTCGTCCCGACCGCAGGGGAGGGGCTCTTTGACATTGTCGCATCGAACGGGCATCGGTTGTCGACCGGGGCCGAGCACCACGTGTTCGTTGGCAGGCTCTTCGGCGAGGGCACTGACCGCGCGTATGTGGCGCTCGAGATCGTGAACCGCTCCTCCGTCCCGCTCGAGTTCCCCGTCGCGGTTGTCAAGCCGTTTCGCATGGAGTTCAACAGTGTGCCGGGCGACGACGACGGCGCCTGGCTCCTCAGCACCGACAGCGTCGGGGGCGCGAACGACAGGCAGACGTCGCCACACGAAGCGGAGGGCACAGAGGATGCCGACAACAACAACAGCAACAACAAATATCAGTCACCACCAACACCATCCCAGCAACAGCAACAGCAGCAGCACCAGCAACAATGCAGCAGCAGTGGCAATGCCATCGCCGGCCGCCCGCAGTGTGACGTGCGGCTGCTTGTGTGCCATCTGCGCAGTGTGCCTGAACGGCACGGGGAGAAGTGCTTTGTTGTCGACCCCAAGTCGCGTATGAAGGTTGCATTCCTCCTCGTGTGTGACCGTCTATGTCTGCCCAGCACACTCGCCGTCTGCGGCGAGGCGGAGGTGGTGCTCAAGTGCAAGCAAGCCCGCGACGCACGGTTTGTCGTGCGGGCACGCTTTCAGGTGTGCAGGCCGTCGATGAGGGTGCAGCGGCAGCATTTTTTCACGTGCGCGGACAACTACGTGGTGACAATCCCCGTGGCGAATCTTCGCTCGCGTGAGCTTCGCGTCGCGTTCTGTACGTCCTCCCCCATTCTCGACGTACTACAGGATGAAAGGGACTCCCCCTCGCTACATCAACACCACCAGCAGCAGCAGCAGCAGGAGTTGCAGAATGACGCCTTTATTGCAATAGCGGGTGGGTCTTCTGCTGCCGTGCATGTGCAACTCAATGTGGAACGCCTCGCCGCCCTGCAGAATTGGAGCAGCACCACCGGCGACGTGAAGGCACTGCTGCCCGCGATCTGTGAACACGTTCTGTTGCTCAATGAGCGAAACCCAAGTGAGCGTGTGCGGGTGGAGCTTTCCTACGTGCCGCCGAGTGCATCAGTGGGGTCCACCGGGACGCCCTCGGCTGCCTCCACTGGGGGCGCGCTGTCCATGACGAAATCACTCAAGGCAAGCCGCCGCCACATCAGTGAGAACCGACTCTTTCAGTTCGTGCAGCGCTACTGGCGTGTGCTGTCGGAGACGTCTGAGGTCCTGCTCACTGAGANCGCCACATCAGTGAGAACCGACTCTTTCAGTTCGTGCAGCGCTACTGGCGTGTGCTGTCGGAGACGTCTGAGGTCCTGCTCACTGAGATACGTTACTACGCGGCGCAGCAGGGGCTCGACACATCTGGCCCAGTGGCTGAGCCAGCCCGAAGCAGCAGCGGCGGCGGAGGCGCCACCACCACCAATAACAACGCCGTGGCAGGAAACAACACTGGCCACAACAACACCAATGCGAACAGCGGCGGTGGTAGTGGCAACGACAACGCCAATATTCATACAGGATCCAACAACAATAACAGCGGCGGGGGCGCCGTCTACTCGTGCTGCCGGACGGCACTGCGGTCGCTGCTAGTCGACCTCACGTGGCTGGTGGAGGAGCTCGTGCATTACTCTATCCTCCTTTGCAATTCCCGCGCGATTGAGGCCTACAGCATCTTCCTCAGCGCCTCCGTCTTGGGCCACCCGTTGATGAATGCGTGGCGCAAGCACAAGGCCACCGTGCCGGCGTCGAGCGCGTTGTCGATATTTGGGCTCTACATGGAGACACTCGACATGCTGCCATGCCCGACGCCGTCCACGGATTAACCAATCACACACACACACACGCACACCGTGCCGCGTTATGCCTGGCGCAGCGCACGCACGACAGGGCGTCGACGTGGATGAGAAGCGGGTGGCGGAGATTTGCCCCCTTACAAGCGGAAGCACACTTGGTTTTTCGGGCTTTCTGTTCGTCTTTCATTGCTTTGTTTCCCCCCCTCCCCCGCTCGTGCTCCGGGCAAGGAGGCGCAGCGTGGGTGCCTTCACGCCGCGCTGTGAGGAGGGCGTGTTGGGTCTTGTGCCGGCGCTGTGTCTCCGTCGGCTTTGTCTGCGCTGCGCGGGCACACACCACACACCATATTGCTGAGCATATATATATATGTATGTATACGCATATCTCTCTGTGTGTGTGCATGTATACAATCATCCTTTCATATATTTATATATATAGTTATATTTGTGTGTGTGTTTGAGGGAGCGGTGGAGCATCCACGACGCGGGGGCGCATTCGTGTCTGTGGTCCTCCAATAACCCCGTTGCCCATTTCTTGTTTCTCCCCCCACCACCCCACCCACCAGTCCCCGACCGCGCCGCACATTTTGTTGCGTCCCCTGGTGATTTTTTCTCGACGCGCCTTTGCTATCTGCTGCACATACAGCCCGCACGATAACAGAGACGACGGCTTATGAGGCGCCGCCTGATGTGACATGAACCCACTCCCCCCTCCCGCGTGCGGGAAGGAAGGAGGGAAGGAGGACGCCGCAAGAACACCACCAGCTGCGGTGCTGAAGCATCCTCCCCGCAACAGAAAGCACGGCAACCAACAAAGAAACAAACAACAAAAAAAGAGCCCATTCATCGGTTTTCCTATTCGCACTCGCTGTTTGCTTCTTTGCAGTGCCCCTGTGTCGTAGCTGCCTCTCTCTGTGGCTCTGTGTGTGTGTGTGTGATGCCCCCGCAACTTCCTTTCACCCCCTCACCCCTCCCCTTCCTTCTCTCCACCCCATTCTTCGCTGAAGGAAGTGACGTAGGAAGGAGAAAAGGCAACAAGAACACGCGGCACTTCTCCATTTTTTTTTTTCTTCTTCCTTCCTACACCCACTCCCGCTTGTGTTCGCTCGACACGCTCCGTTCCTCTCTTGCTTCGACAGACCGGCGGGGATTGTCTCACAACTCCAGCGAGGCGGGAGGAGCGGAGAGGCGCGACACGGCAGAGCGTTACGCCCACCACTACACACAACCATTCAGCCATCGCTGGCCGCCGCCGTCCGTCTTTGTTCTTGACCGGCTGTCTGTTGTGGGTGGCACTGGTGGTGGCTCTGGCGGTGCCCAAACAAGTTTAGTATTTCCTTTTTTATTTATTGTTGTTATTATTTTTACTATTATCGTTTTTGTATTGTTTACCCGTTTCGTCCGTGCGGCTGACTCAGCAGCAGCAGCGAGGCCCCTTTACACCGCACGCTGAATAGACTTTTTACAAACGCAGAGCACCAATTCCATCACACCGCGTAAACGCAGCCCCCCCACACCCACACACAAATACAATCACTATCGAACAACACAGTGGCTTCAGCGTCAACACGGCGGTTTGGAGACGCCAAAGGACGATCCGAGATCTTCGCCGCCAGCGTGCCGTAACGACGCCTGGGCCCATGCGCAACACGGCGCTACTCGCCACCCTTTGTATTGCCGTTTTGGTGACTACCACGCAACCGCACCAGGGCTTCTGTGCGGCGGCAATGCCAAATAAGGCGAGCGTTGAACTTAAAACACAGCAGGCGAGATTCGACTGTGTGCACTATGATCTGCAAGGCTCCCAACTACAAAAGCAGCGCCCGAACGAGCAGGCCCACGATTCTGCAGCGCCCCTGCGGCCTCCACGCATGACAGAACTGAGTCCAGGAAAAAAGATTATTTTAGGACAAACCACACAAAACGACATTACGTTTACTAAAACGCATGATCTGACTGCCACGATTAGCGACACGCGTGAGGTGACTGCCACGCCCAGTCTGACGGCCACGATTAGCGACACGCGTGAGGTGACTGCCACGCCCAGTCTGACGGCCACGATTAGCGACACGCGTGAGGTGACTGCCACGCCCAGTCTGACGGCCACGATTAGCGACACGCGTGAGGTGACTGTCACGCCGAGCGTGAGTGTGGTATTGACAGCGACGCGAAGCGATCCGCTGATGGTGACGCCTACGTTAACCCTTTCTGGGGAATCGACGAAAACCCTGGCACTGAGTCATACGGTTTCGAAGCTGGTTTCACAGACAGTGTCACACACAGGAGAAGTTCCAAGTGTGAGTGTTTCTGAAACAGTTGCTGTTGTGTCTATGACGGCTGAAGAGACGCTGACGTCTACTGTCTCCCTTGTTCCAACAGAAGCAGAAACGGCTTCGGTTTCTTTATCGTTGTCAGGGACGCCTTCGATTGTGGTTTGTCCGGACGCAGTGCCGTCATCAAGTGCCCTAAATGTACCAGCTACGTTGGCGAGCGTGCGTGATGGGTTCCGCGTAATGGCACGGGTTGATGGTAAGATTATGACTTCTCTCTTGGTTAGTGGGGATGATGAGACTGTAGGGGGTGAGCTGCAAGAAGGTGTTAATGTTAGTAATGTCTTGGTAACGTGCACGGACCGAGATGTGGGGAGGGTGAGTCGCAGGGGTTGTAGGTACTTTCTGTCGACACTGCAGAGAACGGTGCGACTTAGTCGATATGATGATGGTACCTTTGAAGTAGTGTGGCCGCCTCTTCCTGGTTATTATATTAGTCTGCCTGAGTTTTTGAATATTGGTGTTCCTGTAGAGGAGGCGTTGGGGTGTCATGTGGCGCGAGCTTCGCTGCAGCTACGTGGAGAACCGCCGCTGTCGCCACAAATGAATGCAGAGGTGGCGGCTGAGGAATTGCCGTTCTATCCACTTATGGCTATTGCTGTTGATCCGATGGAGCAGCCGGCCTTTGTGAGCGTTTCGGGACAAGTTGGTACGGTTGTGGGGATGCTCTCACTATTGGGCGCACCATTTGGTGTGGTGGGACTCAACTACGTCACGGTCCTTAGTATGATGCCGTGCACTCCGGACGCAACGCGACGAATTTTGTCAAGCTTCCGCAGTCTCTCGCTGACAACTATTGAGGACTCGTTCTTTGGCGTGCTTGTGGGTAACCTCATCCTTGGCGTCGCGGTGCTGCTGGTGCACACGCTGGTGATGGTAGTGGCGAAGTTGATGAGGCATTTGATACTCTCGGTAGCAGCTTCGCGCTGCTGGTACCCCGGCTTCTCGCTGTTGGTGCTTGTCAACCTCTACGTGGGAACCAGCTTTGCATCGATGCAGGGCTTCTCCTCTAATGATGGCTCGACGCTGGCGCTTAGCGTCGTCATGTTTGTCGTGTTCGTCTGCGGCACCCCAGTGGCGCTCGTTGTGTGCATGATAAAGGTAAAGTCAACATTCTACCCCATCAGGACAGTGCCAGCGGCGCCGCGTAGAAAAGACGGCCGGTGCTTGGCAGTGGTTGCTAATACCTGGATGGTACGCGTGCGTGGTATTTGGCTGCCAAGCGCAGTGACGAATCGCTTCGTTGTGCTGCTGATGAATCTGCAGAGAGACCGCGCCACGTGGGTGACTCTGTGGCTGTGGGCGCCTCTTGTCGTCGCCGTGATCGCCGCATTCCCAGTCATCTCGGCGGCTGGCTGCATTGCCGCAAACGCTGCGCTCACATTGGGCCATTTGATACTATTCATCCTTGTGGTGGTGTTTCGCCCGCTCATCTCGCCCCTTGACAACGGTTATTACCTCACCGTGATGCTGGTGAGCATGTGCATCCTCGCTTGCAACATTGCCCTGCTGCTGCAGCCTGATAACGCGAGTGCATTGGCGGCGGTGTGTGGAGCGGCGATTGTCGCGGTTCTCATGTTCATTGTGTTCGTCATTCTGAAAGTTGTGCAGTTAATTGTGTTCTGTGGGAAGAAGTGGTTGGATGCGGACGTGCGCAGCACACCACCCAGACGCCACGGGGTACTCAACCAAAGCGCATCGCTGGGTGCGTCCCCCGATCAGCAGCAGCAGCAGCAGCAGCAAGGGGAGGAGGAGGTGGAGGTGGAGCTCGGCGAGACAGGAGAACCCCTCCCGTTGAGAGTACGTCCAGTGATGGCGCCGCGGGTGCGCACTATGGTGGGGCGCGTCGTTGATGTGCGGCCAGACGAGCGCATTCTCCCCGGGCAGCAGCTGCCCCAGCGCCTCGTGGACGGTCTCATGACTGACAATGCCACCGCCGCCGGCGAGCTCGCGGGGCCGCCGGTGTTGCCGCTGCAAGAGAGGCCATCCAGCCTTCTTCACCGCTCCCAAAGGGGCAGCTGGCCATCACTCGACTCCATCTCATTCGTGACGCTCGATGCTGAGAATGCGGACGCCTCGCGTCGCGACGACACGGATGAGGGCTCACGATAACACGATGTGTAGCCGCACCGTTGCCACGCTTTAGACCAGCATTACCAGAGTCTGAGTGAGTGAGAGATAAAGAGATGTTGGGGCTGTGTGCCAATGCCCGCGTTGCAATAACGTTCCTTCCTTCGTGGTGCCTCTTGGCGAGACGCTGCAGCACTTATTTTTGTTGTTGAATGCGTTGCAGGAGACGCGTTGCCTCTGCTGCCCTGCTATTAAGCTGTCGTGTCCTTTCCCTTTATTGTGCTGCTGCTGCTGTGTTACCGACTTCAGCGACGAGGACCCGCCCCCGTTTTGTTTTCTGTGAGCCTGCGACAGGAATGATCTGGGCTCACTGTCACACGGTGCTGACTTTACTCCCATTCCACTCTTTTTATTCCCATACAGCGGGCCGCGAAGGGTAAGTTTGCGAGAAAAAAAACCCCACCCCGCCCCCAACCCTCTACGCCCCCCGCACGGGTGGGGGGGGTGGCGCGTGAAAGACGCTTCCAGCGCTTCTGTTTTGTAAGTGGGAAGAGGCTAAGAAGTATGAGGGCTTTGAGAGTACATTGATTGTTGTAAATTTTTTTTTTTAGGGGTGTGTGTGTGTGTGCGTGTGTGCGTGAGGGGAAATCAATGCCGATCAAACAAAAAATATGATAATACCACGTTGTCCCTTCCTCTCTCTTCTCTCATCTTCACTGCCGCAGCTAGAGGAAAGTACGGC